GTCTTCGAAGTATTCGAGCATATCGACCAACAGGTATACCTGCCCTGACACGAATACACCGACAACGACGTGTCAAATGGTGCAACAGGGTACAGGAACCTGGGGAACGCACTGAACGTGTTTGGTTCAGCGATGAATCACGTTTCCTCCTGCAGCGACGGGATGGAAGACAACGTGTCTATCAACGTCAACACGAACGTTTTGCGCCGAACTGCGTTCGACAGGTGAACAGATTTGGTGGAGAAAGCGTCATGGTGGGGGGGGCCATGTCCGACGCGGGTAGATCAGAACTAATGGTGGTTCAAGGCAATCTTACACAAATAGCTACATCGACCAAATCCTGCGACCTCACCTCCTACGTTTTAACCGCCAGAGGGAGTTGTTTCAACACGACAACGCTCGACCCCACACAGCTCGTGTAACAGTTGCCTATCTCGCCAATGCAAACATCAGTGTCCTTCCCTGATCTTCCAAATCGCCTGATCTGAAACCGACGGAACATCTATGGGACGACCTTGATCGACGCGTCCGTAAACGTCACCATCGTTCTCAGGCACGTGAACTTGCCAACGCGTTGCAGGAGGAATGGCGAAGAATTTCCCAAGCAAAAATCCGACAACTTGTGCAATCCCTTCCAAGGCGGTGTCGAGCAGTGCAAGGGATGGTGTCACCAGGTACTGACCTGAACGCCCTTTGTGTCCACACGTGTGCAGTGAGTGAACTGAATTAATGCTGACAATAGTAATAACAACATTTTTGTTCATCCGTGTGTCGAATATCTTTCATCTATACTACCCATCAAAAGTTTAGACTCACTTAAAGCACTCACTATATGTTATGTATATGTATGTGGTTACATCGAAGATGAATTTCTCCACCAACTTGGGGAAACCAACTAAAAACCTTATGCAGATGAATTGCACAAGGATGATGCTTCAAATTGCGAAAGGCATGAGCAAATGTCGTGCATGTGAACAGATTCGTTTTGGTGTAAAGTTTTGTTAAGAATTCGCCAATTTTCACAGATTTTAATCATTTACTGAACTCATGACAATAATCTTTTCAATGTTACGAATATGTTTTACAATACAGCAGTTCATAACTAAACAGTACCTTTAAACAGTATGGAATATTTTGCAAAAAGCTAGTTTAGAACAGTGGACAAGTAAGTGGCTACATTTACACTAGTGAGTCTAAACTTTTGATGGGTAGTATATGATCATGCTTAATCTGCTTATTTACACTTAAATACGTTTAATACATTTCCATATTTTTGGCCTATGCGTTTCTTTTTTTGAAGATTGCATTATCGAATCAAGGATTCCTACATCAATCTCTGTATAGCCAGTTGTCTTTCAGCTATCCATGGTTTCCAGCAACTAGTTCGTATCATTACAATCAGAATGTTCATCAGAATGTTCATCAGAATGTGAAAATTCATAACGGAAGTGGGGAACTGCTGGTCTGTTGTCACATTACAAGCAACATTATCATTACTTTTCAAGACACGAATCTCCCGCAAACATTTATCAGAATGTTGAATGAAAGTGCCCAATTTTTTGAGTCGGAGGTCCCATGTTTTCGTCTTATATTTTCTGCACGATGCTTTATAATTCCTTAAAGTTCAAAAAGTCTTTCTACTGTAATCGTTTCGTGTAAGTCTAAACCTTCTTAGCGCATTCCTCGCCTCACGCTTTGCGGAACTACACTCGGCGTTTACAGGTTGGCGTCTAAACATCGATACCTTGCATCCAACTGCAGGTCTTGTCATGCGTCCATCCAGTATATGGCTTACAGACTGACTGACAGCAGCATCTATAAAGTCTGCATCCAGTATATGGCTTACAGACTGACTGACAGCAGCATGTATAAACCCGTATCAGTATATCCGTTAAACTGTGGAAAAGAGCATTAACTATATCTGTTAAACGGACTTTAAAGTGATCCGAAAAACCATTGTTCCACCTGTACGTTTCCGAGAGATTAAGTGAAACGCCTGATTGTTTACCTGACAGGCAATTAGGATGCTAACAAAACAGCTCCAAAGGCCAGTGGTCATTACTACCTTGTGCACTTATGAAGGTATATTATCCATTAGCGTCACCAGGAACGCTTCCATTAACAATGAAAAGTTCACATGTATAGCATATATTGAACAATTTCGGCCAAACGCATTTATCACGCCATCACTGGATTTCCTTTCCCTGACAGGCTCATAATCCCCATCAACATAGGGAGAAGCAATGATATCATCAACCTCGGCTTCAGGCTCATGTGTACAGGATTATTCTCAATTGCACGCATAGCATTTATATCACCACAAAGAAGAATTACTGAAGGAGGAAATGTTTTCAAAGAGGAATGCCGCATGCTTATCGAGCGCACATGTGGAGTTAACAGTGTGATAATAACTTGAATCACTGGTAGGGATGTCTTTGGCTAACACATAGGGTAATCCAGTGTACAGTGGTGCATATATATGTATACGCACGCACGCACG